CAGATGCAGAAAAAGCATTTGACAAAATTCAACATTCCTTCATGATAAAGACTTTCAGAAAACTAGGTATAGGAGGAGAGTATTCCAACACAGTAAAAGCCATATATGACAAACCCACTGCTAATATCATCTTGAATGGGGAAAAGCTGCCAGCTTTTCCCTTAAGAATGAGAATAAGACAAGGATGCCCAATCTCACCACTCCTATTTCACACAGTATTGGAAGTACCAGCCAGAACAATCAGGCAAGAGAAAGAAGTAAAGGGTATCCAGATTGGAAAAGATGAAGTCAAACTTCCTGTTTGCAGATGACATGATCCTACATATATAAAAGCCTAAAAACTCTACAAAAAAACTCTTAGAGTCAATAAACAATTTCAGTAAAGTTGCAAGATACAAAATCAACATGCAAAAATAAGTAGTGTTTATACTCCAACAACAAACTTAACAGAAAAAAAAAAAACTGAGAAAGCTAGCCCATTTACAGTAGTTACCAAAAATAACAACAACAACAACAACAAAAAAAACCTAGCAATCAATTTAACCAAGGAGGGGAAAGATCTCTACAATGAGAACTACAAATCACTGCTGAAAGAAATTAAAGAAAACAGAAAAAGAGGTCTCATTCCGAGACCTCAATTCTAGGCGCCTTAAAGCTCCCCTCAGACCAGCTGGGCCTACCCATTCGGGACGCGGCGCCTCACCTTCCTCTCCACACACCGTCCCGGAAAACCTCGGATTGCTCAAGTCTTCCCCCTTGCCAACCTAGCGCGCCGAGACCGGCCTAAGAGGGCTTTCGCAGCCTGCGCATATATAACAACAGATTTTAAAAGATCAAGCAATCTACAGTTTCCAAAGTGAAGGGAAAAGAGAAGAACAGGAAAAAAAAAAAAGGGAGAGACGAGCTGGTTTTAGAGAACTATTAAATTATCTGTAAAATGCTAGTTTTCTTCCTTCTGCAAGGAAATGAGAGAAAGTTTAGAGCCAAAAAGTTCAGATGCAGAAAACAAAAATAAACAAAAGAGAGTCATTGCAGTTGATTTTAAAATAACTCAGACCCTTCACAGTATTTTAAGTAAACATTTATTTTTGAAATAATTTTAGATTTAGAGTAAGGGTACAAGGTGCTGAATACCCATCACTTATTTTCCTCTACTATTAACGTCTTGCATAGCCATCGTACATTTGTCAAATTTAAGAAAGCAACAAGGTTACATTATTATTAACTAAACTTGAAACTCTATTCAAGATTTCAGTAGTTTTCCCACTAATATCCGTTTCCTATCCCAGGATCTAGTTTAAGATAGCACATTGCATTCTGTCATCAACTAAGTCCCCTTAGTTTCCTCTGGTCTAATACAGTTTTCTTATTTTTCATGACCTTGATAGTTTTGAGAATATTGATCAGTTATTTTAAAGACTGTCCTTCAACTTTGGTTTATCTGATTTTTTTTTCATGTTTAGACCAGACTGAGTTATAAGTTTGGGGGATGAATACCACAGAAGTGAATTGCCCTTCTCATCACATCACATTAGGAGGTATATACTATCAATATGACTTATTATTGATGATCTTAACCTTGGCCACCTAGCCAAAGTAATGTTTGCAAGTAATGTTTCTCCACTGTAGTTACTCTTCTCCCCACTTTCCATACTCTATTCTTTGGAAGTTAGTCATAAAGTCCAGCCTACACCCAAGTGGGGAGGGAAGTTGAGTCCCACCTCAAGAAGTATGGAATTTATCTCTTGTCAATGTTATCTAACAAAAGGGATTTTGCAGATGTGATTAAATTGAGGAGCTTGAGGGTGCAGAATATCCTGTATTATCCAAGTGGGCCCAAAAAATTAAGGGTCCTTAATTTTTAGTCATAAAGTCCAGCCTACACCCAAGTGGGGAGGGAAGTTGAGTCCCACCTCAAGAAGTATGGAATGTATCTCTTGTCAATGTTATCTAACAAAAGGGATTTTGCAGATGTGATTAAATTGAGGAGCTTGAGGGTGCAGAATATCCTGTATTATCCAAGTGGGCCCAAAAAATTAAGGGACGAGGGTCCTTATAAGAGGGAGGTGCTTACTGCAGCAAGGTCAAAAGTGAGAGGTGATGTGAGGATGGAATCAGAGATTGGAGTGATGTGGCCAGAAGCCCACAGATAACATAAAAGAGGACAGGCAAGTGCACAGAAAACAGGACATGGTTTTAAATCCAAATTTTACATAAAGACAACCAATTTTGATCAGAATCCCCAAATCCCTGGAAATAAATAGTAAACTTGCCATAGAAGAGTCATTTTTTACTCATCAGACTGGGAAAACTATGAAAATCAATTATATCTAGTGATGGTGAGTATGTGGGGACATAAATAACTGACAGAAATATAAATTACTCTTTTAGGAAAAACAATCTGAGAATACATCTTAAATATTTAAATGTGTGCATGGACAAAGCACTCTCAATTTTAGAAACCCATTTTATAGAAACAAAAGCACACATTTGTTTGTTTGTTTTTTTTTTTTGAAAAGCACACACTTGTAAAGATAAATGTAGAGGCTGTATATTGCAGCACTCATTGTATTAATTATAATACTATCTATTTTGTTTTTAATTTGGTGCAAGAAGGTGTTTATGAGTACTCTATTTGCTTCTGAACATTTTTTCCCATAGCTAATCCATCAGCAAATCTTATCTCCTTTACCTCCAAAATGTGTTCACTCCTCTCTGCCAACATTGTTTTTCTTGGTCAATAAACATAGATCAACCTATTAAAAATTATATAATATTCTTAATTTTAGATATACAATAATTTATTTAAATATGCTACCACTGTTTTAAGTCTTTTGCTATTATAATTAATAGGTAGGATGAATTACAGTAGAGATTTAATGTTTAATTTCAAAAAAGACTGCATAAATAAATGCTGAGAAATCCAAACAATATTTATGGTAACTTTTCCTACAATCACTGGATTGCTTTGGTTTTTGGTTTTCATGGCAAGAGAGATCAGGTGAAAGCCATGCCCAGATGAACATGGATGAATATTCCTAATCATTTTACACACAATTTTAGTTTTGAACATTTATTTCTAATACTACCTTCTTTGTTATAAAATTATCCCCTTCAAGGAATACTTTGTAAAGCTTAGTTCTAATACTACAGGATCCATAATTATGTAATTGATTACTAAATGTTTAAAGTTACTCACCATTGAAGACCCTTGCTATTTTTATTTTCTATAACACAAAGTCTATCATCTCCTTAACCTTTTAAAACTTCCATCCTTAGAACTTCAGCTTTGCTATTTTTTTCTTTAAAAATCGCAGGCAGCATTCTGATAATTTATAGTCTAGGAGTACTGTATTTTGTTTACAAAATTCCTTCCTCGTATGCTCAGCATTTTGTTGGCTGTGTTGGCCTCAGTACCTCATTTGCACGATGTCTTCACTAGCATACTTGTGGACATTGAAATCATCTGCCATTTTTTCCACTCACATCGCCTTATGATATCAAGAAAAAGAGCAAACCAAGAAAAAAAAAATTCCAAGGAATTTCTGAAGGAATTCTCTTCATTATTCTGCTCTTCTTAGAGCGAGTAATATTTGTATAATATATAATAAGAACTTTTACCCGTTTCATGAAACCTCAAAACAAACCTTTGAGGCTGTCAGTGTGATACTCATTTTACAGATGAAGATAATTTACAGAATAATCATGGTGTTTAATGGGTCTTAATCCTCCTCCGCTCTTCATATAGTGTGCTGCCTTCCCCACAACTAATCAGGAACTTTTTTTTCTTTCTCTTAACCATTTTCCTCACATCAGTTCCCTTTGTGATAGAAGCCTTTCTCCTTTTATCCTCCTTAGTGTATGTTCAGAAGTTACAAATTCACCACACTATTCATAATTCATGAATTCTAAAGCGTGAAATAGTGCCCAGGTAGCAAATACATACCCATTGGTAAAGCAGTAACTATGCAATTAGTACTTAACACACAAAAAACATTGTTTTACCCAACGTAACACATCGCTGGTGTACAGAGTGTGTGTTGGGGACGCCAGAGGAAATGGCCCCGAACAAGCTTAATGCCAGATCGAGCAACTTGAACCTTCTCTTGTTCAAGTTCTTTTCTCTCTTGCATTTATTTCCTCTGGTGAGCACAAGATGCAAGAGCCGTTCCTAACAGTCCTCTCCTTTTTTCTTACAGTTGAAGTTGGCTGCACTCTCAACAGCCTCTTGCCCTCCTCAGCCACTGTGGCTCCCTGGTCTCTTCTTCACAGAATCTTCCAGAATCGCTTTTTTCTGGGCACGCTGGTTAGCTGGTCAGGGGGTTCCCAAGTTTCCAAGCCATTGCTACTTACCTCCATAGGTCAATTACGCACTTCTCTCTGGTTGTTCCTGAAATGCGTTAACCTCCATAAGATCATGCCACTGAACTGGGTTCCAGCTCCTCCTGACCGCTTCTTACTTACTCTTCAGGTCAGTCAGTATGGGCGGCGGTGTTTACTGCCTCATTCCGAGACCTCAATTCTAGGCGCCTTAAAGCTCCCCTCAGACCAGCTGGGCCTACGGCCGGCCTACCCATTCGGGACGCGGCGCCTCACCTTCCTCTCCACACACCCCCCGGAAAACCTCGGATTGCTCAAGTCTTCCCCCTCGCCAACCTAGCGCGCCGGGACCGGCAGAAGAGGGCTTTCGCGGCCTGCGCATGCGGACTCAGCGGCCGCCACTCAGGCTCACCGGCTGCTTCCCTCAGGGCGGCCGGGGCGGTTTGGAGCTCGCTGACAGCTCCACGACCGACCGGCGCAGCCTCGTCCCGTGCTTCCACGTTATCCTATCAGAGGCGGGGCGGGGCGACGGCCTCCGCAGCCTATCAGCGCGAACCACGACCCAGGCGAGCCCCGTAGGAGAGCGGCCAGGAAGAAGGCGATTGGGTGGCGGCGGCGCTAGGGGGCGTGGCGTCTCCCGGGCCCCGCCCACCGCTTCTTTCCTCAGCTCGGAGCCAGCTGCCGCTTAGGCCTGAGTGAGAGCCGACGGCGGGCGGGCGCAGCAGCTGTCTGAGCGCCGGCGCGGGCTGGTGGGTCCTGCACCCTTCCTCGTCCTAACTCTCCGCGCCCCCGGACATGGTGGCCCCCAGCTGTGTGATCAGCCGGCTGGGCTCGGTGTTCCCCTTCCTTCTGGTCCTGGTGGACCTGCAGTACGAAGGTGAGTCCTGCCCTGCTCCGGCCTGGGGAGCGGGCTCCCGGGCCAGGCCCCCCGGAGCTTGCCCGCCTGCGACCGGGCGAGAGTCTCGGGGCGGCTCGGACGGTGGGGCGGGAGCCGGGAGACACCGCGGCCCGGCCTGGGCCTGAGCCCGCGCCTGGGCGGGGGCTGGAGCCCGGTTCCGGGTTCGTCCAGGGAAAAAGTGAGGGGACCGGCGGGCCGCCGGGACGGGACAGCGGGTCTGGAGTGAGGAGCGGGGCCGCGGGAGTCCGAGGAAGCGGGGGCACCGGGCAGATACTTCGGGAGCGTCCTGGGACGCGGAGCCTTGGGCAGCCGTCGGTCCCGGCCTCACTTGGGACCCTGGCTTGGCGCCTGGGGACACTGTTGGTCAGTGGTGCTGGGAGGAGGCGGTAGAGGTGGCCAAAGGGGACGCTTCTCTGTCTCTGGAGTTCCTGGGCAGGGAAGGGGTGCGGGGTTATGTCCGGCTGCGTGAAGGGGACAGTGTCGAGTGTGGAAAAAGTGAGTAGCCGTCACGTTACGATACACTGTGTCGGTGTAGAAGTTGTTAGGTTGCTGCTTTACGGAACCGGTGTTGGAATTCAAGCTCGCGGAGGGCAGGGCACCAAGATTGTGGTTTTACAACTCCCAGGATAGTCATTCCACTTAGGGCTGGCTTTACTTCTCCGAGTTCTCTGAAAAGGGTCCCTTTAAAAAGATACTGAGTGTTTAAATTTCACTTCAGTCCTACAGACTGGAATGTTGGCTACTTCTACAGAACAGTGAAAATAGAGGGTTGTCCCACCTTAGGTGTCAGCGGGGAGGAGGAGTAAAAAAGCTGAAAGTGCCAACTTGAGTACTCCGAGCTTGGTTAGTGTGCGAAATATTCGAGTATGGTGACATATCACATGCATTGATCTAATTTCATTCCCATTAAAAACAGCTAGTTGTCAAGGAGGTCTGATTAAACATTTGAATATTACGTTCAGAATGAGTGAGGATCTGAAGTTGGGAATTGTTATGGTGAAATCCTCAACTTTTTATTTGTTTAAAGTAATACGCTCCAGTTTTTAGGTCTCATTCATGGCAGTGGGTTTTTGTGGGGTTTTTTTTGTTGTTGTTCCCCTGGTAACCATATTTTTTTGAACTCAAAATCAGAACATGTAGAGTGACAACACTGGGACAAAGAATTTGACAGTGAGGCGGCCCCAGAAAATCTAGGGAATTGGAATTTGAAGTCCTGGACCACTTTAATATGGTTCATACATTCCAGTTCTCTTGCATTTTCTAATGCTTAGTCTCTGTGCGCCCCCCCCCCCCCCATTCCGGTAGTATTTATGTCCGATTATCATTGATAATTTATTTTGGACTCTTAAGAGAAAGTTGCCTATGTTCTGTTTAATGTCATTTTTTTTTTAAAGCTACAGAGGTGTGCATTTTTGTATGATTTGCTTTTTCCACTAGCTTGTGGAGCACCTTTTTCGAATTGCTGTTCTGTGTATGATTATGTAGGACTCTTAACACATTTCCCTCCTGTGGTATTTTCCATAAGAAAACCTCATAAGAGAGCTTTTCTGTGTAGGAAGCACTGGTGACATTTCTCAAAGAGTGCCAGAGTACTATCTTCTTTAGGAACATTGCGTGTGTGAAGTAGCGGGGACGTTTTGTACAGGTGATAGAGCAGAAAGGAAAGGATCCCTTTCTGCAAACTGTCTCTTATTTATGGAGGTATCTGATATTATTCCTACTTTACAAATTGGGGAACTCAGGCTCCAGGAGTTTAATTAAAGTTCATTTTGTGTGCAGGCTGGAGACAAGTTAATTGGTTGACAGCATCATTGGGGTTCAAGCATTCAAAAGAGGTGGAAGCTGGGAAAAATTATCATTTTTTTGTTAGCCACCAGTAGTAATTAACAGGAAAGTGATTTTCTGGTAGGTTTAATATAATGATTCTCAAACTTAAGTGTGCATCAGAATCTCTCATGGAGGGCTTTTTAGAACAGGATGCTGGGCCCCACTTCTAGAGCTTCTGATTTAGGAGGTCTAGATGGGGCCTGAAATTTTGCATTTCTGAAAAGATTCCAGGTGACCACACTTTGAGAACCACTGGTGTGGAGTTAAATTAGGAGTTAATAAAGGAGTTAAATTAGGTGTCTGCTATGTAGTAGACACTAGATTTGGTGATGGGGATGTAAAGGTAAGAAAGAACCTCTGACTTGAATTGGCAAACTGTTAGCTCCTGTTTTCCCAAATAAGTTCTGTGTCTGGGTTCACTAACCTCATAGTTCTCTGGGAGGCCTTCAAGTCAGATGGTGCCACTGCTAGAATGGGTGTGAGAAGAGTAAATGTGAAGCAAAGAGTTGCATAAAATGGAGAGTGTTACTGATGATTAGCTTAGATGGCCTAGTTTCTTAATATTTTAAAATATTCATCTTTGTTTTCTTCTAGATTCTCTGTTAATTGTAATCCAGAGAAGGGAAGCATGTATCGTAATTGAAAGGTTGACTCTTTTAGCACCCCCCTCCCCTTCTCAAAGGCCTTTGAAAGAGGGAAGTCCAAAGCATTAGATTAGAAACAGAATTTTTGGAGTAGAAAGAAAACTTTAGTAGTATCTACTTTAGTGTTCTCATGTTACTGATAAGGAAGTTATTTCAATTCTTTACTAATGGTTTGTTCTTTTCAGTGACTTGAGTAGGGACACAGCCTGGAAACCAAACCTTTTTTTCCAGTTATCATAGTTTTCTCTTTTTCTTCCTTAACATGGTATCTGGACCCAATTTTTCCTTATTTCACTAAACTGGATTGATTAAACTATATATTTTGGCTATAGGGAAAAGAATGGTTGCAAATCTATATGTATAAAAGATGGTGATAACTTTTATTTGAATCTAACCTATGAAAAATATGTTTTATCTTCTCGGATTTCTTTGACATTATTTAAGTGTGGAAAGAATAAGTAAAGTAGCAAAGATGAATGACTTTAAGTAATTTACATAAATTAAGTATTTTAGCGGATGGTCACATAGTTTATAGAATTATTTTAAATTCTTTAATAAGATAGGATGTAATAAGCAGTAGTGTCAAAGTTCCAATTCACTTAACTAGTTAACATTTGCTGAGGGAGTGCCTAGAAATGCAGTAGTTTTTATTTGGTGGGACAGGGGAGAATTGTTTTGAGATGAGATGCCCTGTCCTAATTAGGTTTTATTTTCCCATATGAAGTTAATTAATTGTGGTCAAATTTAATTTCCATTGCCATGGTCTCCTCTGGTTAATGTCCAGGAATTAATCTTTGTTTATATGGAAATATCATGGGAACCTAGTCACCTACTCTTCCAAACTTGAACATATCAACCATATATTTATTTTTCTTTTTGTACCCTACTTTTTTTTAATTTTAATTTTTTATTTTTTTGGCTGCTGGCCAGTAAGGGGATCCAGACCCTTGACCTTGGTGTTATCAGCTCTAACCAACTGAGCCAACTGGCCAGCCCTCTTTCCATATCTTCAGAAAGCTGCTTTAAAAAAGAATTTAAATAAAAATTTTTTTTAAAAATTGGTGAGTTTATGTAGTTTATAAGACATGTATTTGTGAAGCACCCATGTCCTCTATCCCTCCTTTCTCAGTTTAGATTTAGTGCTCTATCATTGTAGTCACTTCGTTGCAAATACCCTTTAATTTCCCTGCTCCTATACACTTTTGTTTTACTTACATTGCAAAACGCAATACCGATTAAATTCAATTTTGTCAACTTGTTTGTTGTCCCTTAGAGCTGAACACAGATGGAGAAAAATGGAGACAACCTTGTTGATTAGTCTCATTTTAAGGGAACAATCTCAATCTCAAATGCACACTCAAATGCTGATAATATTTCTGCAGTTACCTAGTATGTCTGTTCTTGAAAATCAGTGTTTCACACCTTTTCGTCTTTCCTTAAACCTCCATTTCAAACTCCCCTTTTCTCTCTTCCCTTATCTTATTTTTTTTTTTTAGACCTTGTCTTAGAGAAAATGAAAGTCATCACAGGGCAACTTCGTCTTCTTTCTACCATGAAATTCACTAATCTACGTACATCAGTACCCACTCCGCTACCTTTTCTTATATTAAAATGTATAAAACATCTCTATTCCCAACTAAATCCAATCTCTGTACTTATACCCTGGAATACATTTCCTCTCACCTTCTGAAAGCGTTGCTCTTATGATTGTCTTAGTCTGTTTTTGCTGTTGTAACAAAATATGAGACTGGATAATTTATAAACAGAAATTTACTTCACATAGTTCTGGAGGCTGGGAAGTCCATGATCAAGGCACTAGCTTTTGTTGTCTGGTGAAAGAGGGCCTTCTTGGTGTATCCTCGCATGGCAGAAGGTGGCAGGGCAAAGAGGACAAAAGGACCTAGCTTGTTCCCTTCAGCCCCTTTATATGGCACTAATCCATTCTTGAGGGAAGCCCTCATGACTTAATCATTTCCCGAAAGGCCCCACCTTTTAATACCAACACAGTGGGGATTAAGTTTCAACACATGAATTTTGGGAGACATTCAGATCATGGCCAGTTATTTCTCTTCTGTGTCATCACTTCCTTCCCCTCTGCTGGATCATTGCCATCAGCACTCCAACATGCTGAAGCATTTCTATCTTAAACTGTTCTCTGATGTCAATTGTCCCTGCAGCTACTGAACTGTGTTTTTGCTTCTCTTGACAGCAGAACTCTAAAGAGTTGTTGGTATTCTCTATTTCTATTTCTCTATCTTCTGTTCTTTCCCCAACATATTACTATTCTGGTACCTTAAAGTCTTATGTATCTGACTCCTGTTTACTTCTCCAACCTCTTTTCGTCTTAATCTTCCCCTCCATCACCAAGTTCCTACTGCATTGACTTCTTTTACTTCCATATTCCAAGCGCATTTCTGAGTGAAGGTCTTTATTCTTGCTATTGCCATGGTCTGGAAAGTTCTTCCCTGGCATCGTCAAAGGAGCATTCATGATTCAGAGAAGCCTTCT